AATTTATTGCTTATTTTTAATGAAAAAAAAGACTAGCTTTAATTTATAATTTATTACATCTGTAAGTTTTATGTTAGCAGTTTCAAAGATTTGCTGTATACACACAGATTCCAAAAAACAAGCTCTAAATCAGTTCAACTTTTATATATAATTAAAATCACTTATAGTAATCATTAATGAAATTATAAAATTTTGGGAATACCAAAGATTTACGTCATTACTATCATTAATAAAATGATATAATTTTGGGAATAGTAAAGATTTATATCGTTTATAGTAATCATCAATGGAATATAATTTGGGAATACCGAAGATTTACAAAAAAAACTTCAAAAAAACCGTCACTGTTATCTTCTCTCACATAAGTTTAGATCACTTATAGTAATGTTTACATGTAAAATAGAAGAAATGTCATAAACAAATCAATTATTTCCTTTTTGTATAACAAAATTTGTATACCAAATAAATCTTCCAAATATTAATAAAAAAAATAAATCTTGAAAGGTTACTATAAACAACATTATAAACCGGACTAATCGAGGACTTTAAAACGCACAAAAGAAACTTGAGTGTATAAAGAGAAGATAACGATGATTTTTATATAGAAAATTTTTGCTCAATTAAAATTTAGTTTGTTTCACTGATCGAAGCTGCACTATACGAGGTATTGTTGTATTAAACTAAGAAATCAATTCCTACTTTTCTATCATATTTTGACTCTCACAAAATTTAGTTTTCTTCGAAATATTCATACCGGACTATAGTGAATCCGAACTGACCGAAGCCGCGCTCTGCGAGGTATTGTATTAAATTAAGAAATGAAAAATAATCGAAACGTTGATATATAAATCAATAAATTCCTGTTTGTAACAAAAAATAACCCAAATAAATATTCCAAATATTAAACAAAAATAAAATATTGAAAAAAGAACTGTGACATAGATCATATTAAATAATTATTATAAAAAACAGATTCATTTTACATCAATTCCCAGCATAGTCCGGAATATTGACTGTTTGAAACCGGACTAATCGAGGACTTTGAAACTGCACAAAAAGAGACTTTACAGTAAAAAGAGAAAAAAAACGTATATAAAAATAATTTTGTTTTAGAAGTGGACTATAGTTAATCTCGACTTATAGAAGCTCCACACATCAAAGTATTCTTGTATAAACTAAGAAATGAAATCCTACTTTTAACATTGTTTTGAAAATTACAAAAGTAGCGTCACTAAAACCACTGTAACTTATGAACTAAACTTCAGATTGCCATGAAATTTTGACAGGTGTCGTCTGACGGTTGGTAAATCATAAGGATTTAGAGGCGCCATCTATATGTCATGCTACGAACTTATTGAGTGAGGAGTTATATCAAAAACAATATTATTTATCGTCTTTTACATAAGTTCAGATCGCTTATAGTAATCAATAGTAATAGTAAAGTTGATATATATCAAGAAATTCATTTTTGTAAGAAAACTAGAGTAAGTAAATTTTCAAAATATTAAAATTGAAACTAAAATATTTTACTAAAAATTCTGTGAAATAGATAATATTTGACAATAGTCGCATTGTTACTCCAGTTTCGTTATCTGTTTGACCGAGAAAATCAGTGAACGCACACGACATCGAGGTAGTTAAGTATTTGCCAGAATGTAGGTTATTTATATCAAAAAAAAAGTGATTTCGTATCGTTGGCTTTCTGGAAACGCTCGTTGTTATCTACAATTCGAAATATGTTCAATATTTGATGTGATAATAGAAATACTTTTTGATATTCGGTGCGTACAAATATATATATTTTTTTAAAACATTTTCATTTATACTTGTTGTGTACAATATTTCATGGATTGAGGTACTTATTTTGATATTTCTTTGCACTTTATCGAGTAAGTATAAACAATTGTTATCTGTATTTAACACGCTTCGACTCCTTCGTACGTGTTGTTTCCAAGTTTATTTATAAATGTGTTGTGTATTCCTTTTTTTTTTGCTGATACAATGTATTTTAAATTAAATAATATTACTATAAATGTTCTAGATTTGTAGCATATTTTTATTACTTGATATCCACTTCATGTTTTTCTTAATTGAAAATCCTTATACTTTTTACAATACATTTTAAGAAAATTGGACTTTATTTTAAGTAAAGAATGATTCTTATTGAAAATTAGTTTAACTTACATAACTGATATAAAAATCAGTATTAAATTGATATTGAAAAATGTCTTTCATTATCAAAAAAACTGTTTTGATTCAATTAAATAATTAAATGATGTCATTAAAAATACAAAATTTAGCACATAATTATACCAAACCAATTTAAAATCCATTAATAAATTGTTATTGAAAAACATCTTTCAGTACCAAAAAAAAAAGAACGAATAACACCAACAAAAAAAAAACAAACTTTCCACTTTGTGTTACGTAATCAACAAAGAAAATGGAATCTGTTGACTCATTCGGCTTAATTAAAAAAAAATATATATGTAAGCAAGAGATCTCGTCCTTTTTGAAACTCGTTCTTTATAAAATAAAGAACCGGAGAAAATAAAGAATGAAATCGCTCCGGATTAATAACAGAGTTGTGCAAAGTACAATATTTTCGCTCGTTTCTGAACGATTAATTGAAACGCGATTACGTATGAACAATTATAATTAACGATTCATGAAAAAAAAAATGAAGAGGAGAGGAGTTTAAACAACAGATCGCATCATCGTGCGTCACGGCCACGGCACATCACAAGACCCATTCAGTAATTCTCTCTTTCTCTCATTTATTACTTCTTACACTTTTTTTCTTTCCTCCATTTGTTAACTCCTTCCTGCGTTACATAATCCCATAACCGCAGTGTTCTTAACGAAACCCAACTTGTTGTTTCGTTTTTTTTGTTATTTTAGTTTCGGTTAAAATAAACCAATAATAGCAAACGGAAAAGTGAGCGTGGACGTGTGTGTATTATTACGAAACCCGCTAAGTTCAAGATTATCAATGCGAAATCCTTGACTTATAAAATCATCATGACTATTTATACATTTCGAACTCTGTATTTGTCTCTCTGACTTTAAACGAGTTTGCATTTCAATTTGAATGTTTTTGGATTTTCCAGTTTGTTAATTATTGGTTTTTGATCATTTTTATTTTGGATTTTATAGATTTGGATATTATATTGTGTTTTATTTGTCTTTCTTATATGAGTTCTTCTTTTATTTTTAGATATTTCTCTAGTTTTGGTTGTGTTTTGGGTATTTTGTTTTGTTTTATTACTTGTTTTTAGTTTTGGTTGTTTTATTTTTGGTTTTGTCAAATTTATTGTTTTTCTTCTTAGATTTGGGTTTTTATTGTATTTTAGGTTATTTTAATTTTGAAGTTTCGTGTCAAATTTAATGTTTTTCTTTTAGATTAGAGTTTTCAGGTTATTTTAATTTTGAAGTTACGTGTCAAATTTACTGTTTTTCTTTTTAGATTTGAGTTTTGCTTTTATTTTAGGTTATTTTAATTTTGAAGTTTCGTATCAAATTTAGTGTTTTTCGTTTTGTATCTGTTAATTCTTTTGGGTTTGGCTATAATTTAGCTTATTTTATTTTTCAGTTATTAAATTTCGTGTCAAATTTAGTGTTTTTCTTTTTAAATCTGTGTATTTTTCTTGATTTTGGTTGTTTTTTTTAGTTTTCGTTATATTATTTTTGGTTTTGAAGTTACGTGTCAAATTTAGTGTTTTTCTTTTTGGATTTTGATTATTTTATATTGTGTCAAATTTAGTAATTTTGTTTTGAGATTTAGGTATTTTTTATATTCGTTGTTTTTTAGTTTCGAGTCAAATTTATTGAATTTCTGTTTGGATTTTGTTTTATTTATTTTTTGGTTATACATTTTTGTGTCAAATTTAGTGATTTTATTTTTGTATTTAGGTATTTTTTAATTGTTTTTTCAGTTCTGGTTATTTAACGAAGTTTCGTCGTATTTTATTTTTCAGTTATTAAATTTCGTGTCAAATTTAGTGTTTTTCTTTTTAAATCTGTGTATTTTTCTTGATTTTGGTTGTTTTTCTTTTAGTTTTCATTATATTATTTTTGGTTTTGAAGTTTAGTCTCAAATTTAGTGTTTTTCTTTTTAGATTTTGATTATTTTATGTTGTGTCAAAATTAGTGATTTTGTTTTGGGATTTAGGTATTTTTTTTTATTTTCGTTGTTTTTTACTTTTGGTTTTAAAGTTTCGTGTCAAATTTAGTGAATTTCTTTTTGGATTTTTTAAAATTTAATTTTTGGTTATAAAGTTTTGTGTCAAATTTAGTGATTTTATTTTTGGATTTAGGTATTTTTTTAATTTTAATTGTTTTTTTCAGTTCTGGTTATTTAACTTTTGAAGTTTCGTATCAAATTTAGTGATTTTTTGCTTTTATTTGAGTTTGGTTATTTTATTTTAAAAGGTTTTTTGGGGTTTTATTTAAGATCCATTAAGGAAGCAAACGTTTGAGGAGGATTCTACTCTTCGTATGTTGTTCGAGTTCACGAGTTTTTGGCTGAGGGAAACCAAAAATAGAGATCATCACTACCTACTACTACACTGGCGCACGCAATGCGTGATGTGATGCGAGGACTGAAAACTTCCAATTCCTTCCAAGCTAATGACGCGATCCCCCGTTCATTCAACATCTTATCACATCACCGTTTATATATAGACACCCGAAGCCTACATACATGTGCAAATATAAGTAAATAGAGCGTATTATCATCATCGCTCCAAGATAAGCCTACAATGAAGAAGATGATCCATCACATCACAGATTCAGATCGACCAACAGAAATATGTTAGCAATCCAAACAATTGCATCAATCTTCCAACAATTTATAAATATTTGCCTTAGCCAATGCGAATCCGAAATTTCTTAAAGCCTTCAATTTCTTCATTAAATGAACAAAATTAAAAATAATGAAGAAACCATTGAACTATAGAAGAAAAAAATGAAAAATTAAGTTTGCTCGCTTCGTTAATTACTTTCGCTTTAATTGTTGCAGCACTCCCACACAACAGCACACTCCGATGGTTGTAGTATAAACTAGGACAACGTCGAGGTCGGACAACACTCTCTTCTCACAAAACTAAACTTTTTTCTTCTTCTATATATTATTATTATTATTTCACTGAGCACCACAAAACTAAATAATTATATAGAACTGATACACACGCATAAACACACTGTAGTAGTATTACTTCTTCGAAGAACTGTTAAACTGGGGACTGCTCTGAGCTGATCCGATCCGTTTCGTTGGAGGACGCGACGACGACTGAGTCTGAGCGATACTTGCTGGAGGCGCGGACCCCGCACCGGGGAATACGCTGCCCCCGCTCAATTCCCGACTCCCGTTTATATCGTGGTTCAGATATATACGAAATAACTATATACACGCATTCCGCGAAGGCCGATTCTCATTGTTATCGCGCGCGGATTCTGTCATCATCGTTCTATACACAATTTTTTTTTGATCAAATTTTTCTGGCAAAGTACAATTAATCCTTATCGTTCATATTTGACAACTAGATAATATTTGGTATAGGTTGCTAATTGTAATCAGTTTTTGTTTAAATTTAGAATGAGTAGTCTAAGTAAAATATTTATTATTGATATTAAATTTTTTATAATTTCATTTTTGATCTTCAATTTTTTAACTTATATGAGTGATTTTTTAAATAATTTCGCTTAATTTGGGACCATTAAGATAACATTTAAATCTTCTAGTTTTTAATATTGAAATTGCTTTGAAACTTTACATTATTATGATATAAGAATATAATTCGAATTGAAGAACATTTTTCTGTATTATTCAAATTTTTATTTTTTCATTGAATTTAAAAATGTTTATTTAAAAAATCGCTTAATGTAATCATGAAAAAAAAAGTTACATTTTCTCAATCTGATATGAGTTTAAATGTTGTCTCCTTATTTTTTATACGGAAATTGTTTAAAGTTGTCGAATTGTTTTGAAATTGTAAGTCTGATTCTTATGGGAAATCTTGTATTCAAAATATATCCACTTATTGTAATGATTGAAAAAATCTAACAATTTTTATGAATGTTATCTTCTTTTTGTTTATACAAAAATTGTTTAAAAGTATCCAAATAAATATTTACCTTTTTTATAACAATTTAAAGTGAAGATTTTTTGGAATTTTTAAGTTCTTACATTATTAGATAAATATTTCTTTCAATCAGCTTATTGTAATCAATTTTGTAGTTAGGAATGAATCTGTTTTTTTTTTGAGAAATCTTATTTTTTTTAATAAAGTAATCATTAAGGAAACAAAAATAAAATTACATTTGTTAAACTAGTGACGAAGTTTATGCATTTTTAACTTTTAGTATAATTGATTAAGTTTTGAAAGAATAATAGTATAATCTTAAAATGATATTGCAACTAAAATGTTGTGTCATATTTTTGTATCTCGTAAAAATATCATATTATTACCTATTTTTCGAACTATAAGACGCACCTCAAATTTAGAGACGATTTATTGAAAAAAATATTTTAATGTTACTTTCGGACCATAAAAAACAAAATTTGAGTCTATTTTTCTATGTAAAAAGATGCGTCTTATAATCCGGAAATTAGGTAAATAAGGTACGGATCTAAGGCGCTTATAGTATCATTAATATTAGTATAATTATAAACGATAGAAATATTACGTTTTAAAATTAGAAATCAGTCAAATTTTAATTAAAATTTAATCACTTAATCTCGGATATGTTCATCGTTGATCTTCAATTTTTATAAGATATTCTATCCCATAAAGTACAATAGTTAACAAAAATACAATGCTAGATAATATATAATACACGTCGCATATTTTATTAAATTGTAATCATATATTTTTTTATTATGATCATAAATCAGGCAAAATAATGAAATATAATAATTTAATAATGAATGTAATCATTATAAAAATATGTTAATCAATATTAAATTAAATCCGTTTATATTAATGAGTAATATTAACATGGGAAGAAAAAATAAAAAATAATATGTTTTTTTTTTAATTTACAAAAACAAAAAAGTTGCTATGTTAATTGTATTAAGCTGCTTATTGAAATTAGGTAAAGAAAGTAATGTATTTATGATATAAATAAAATTTGGTAAATGTTATAAATACAAATATTATATTTTTTTGCAGAC